GCTGGGTCTCTGCTCTGGCTGCAGGGCCACTGTGCTCCAGGCTAGTGCTGCCCGATGCCCCAGCTCTTTCAGACCCAGGCAGCAGGGTGCAGCTTTTCATCTGAGATGCACTTTTGCACCCCCAAATCCACGAGAAGGAAAAGTTTGGTGTTTTGCAATCAGAAAAATAAACCCAGTGGTCCCCACCCCACCACCCCCTCCCCATCAAGGGTTTAATTTAAAACACTGTTTTTCCTGGGAAGTGTAATTAGAGCAACATGTTTTTCCTAACGAGCTGGGTGGGGCAGGCAGACAATGAAGCCCTCCCAGCCCGCCTGGCACTCCCTGAGGAAACAGATGTGAATGGCCAGAGGGTCCCCTGCCTGTCCCCCGAAAGGTGGGGCTCTTTCAGCTACTGCGGACAGCGGACAGCGCGGACCTAGGCAATGGCCCTGACAACATTTCAATCCCTGGAGTGGTGTCTGCTCAGTGTGGTGACCTGAGGCTGGGGAGGCCCCCCTCCTTGGCTCTCAGGACCGGGGCTCCCTGTGCTGGGTGCCTAGAGGGATGGGGGACACGGAAGGGCAGACAGGAGGGCTCTGCTCTGGTGAGCGTGAGGGAGCCTCACTCGCCCTGAGGGCCTCCTCTCTCAGCTGGGTTGGTGAGCACCCTGCACACCTGTCAATCCTCCACCTGCTCTCAAGGCTTCCCTGCATGCAGGGAGCACGGAGAGGGAGCACGAGGAAGGGTCTGGGCAAAGAGGACTTTCTCTAATCGGATGTGCAGTATCTGCTACCCTTGAGGTTCCTAGGAGTCTTGGTAGTGTGGCATAGAGGGTTACTTGTTGGGATGCTAACTGCAAGGTCAGCAGTTCAAAACCACCAGCCGCTGCTCCTAGGGAGAAAGATGGGGCTCTCTACTCCCGTCAAGAGTTGCAGGCTTGCAAACCCACAGGGGCAGTCCCTCCCTGTCCTATTCGGTCACTATGAGTTGGGACATACTCAATGGCAATGAGTTGAAGTTCCTGGGTGGCTTCGAACTGCCAATCTTATGGTAAGCGGCCCAGTGTGTAACCGCCATGTTACCAAGCACTTGTGGATAGCTCCCCAGTTCTGGGAGAGGCACTGACCCGGAGAGGGGTGGCGGACACTCCAGGTTGGGCCAGAGCAGGTTGGGAGAGTTGGAGGGTGGGGGCAGGCGGCTGCAGGAGCCAGCAGTCTGCTGGGCGGCTCCAGGCCTCCCACCTGGAGGATGACCTGAGACCACTTTGTGAACCTGGGGACCGCAGAGGGTCACTGAGACAGATGAGTTTTAATCCCCAGAGAGTAGGCTTATAAGAAGTTTCTGGAGTGGCTTGCCAAGTTTTCTGGAACTTCAAGGAGGCCTGAAAGATAAGCCAGGTCCAGGGAGGTGGTGAGTGGAGTCTATCCCAGAAGAAGAAGCCTAGAGCCGGCTGCTGGGTGGCCTAGGGCTCAGGCTGGAGCAGACCAGAGCAGCGGCGAAGATTTCTTTATGCACCTACCCACCTACCATCTGTCTGCCATGCTGCTCCCCTCCCTTCACCTATCCACTCACCATCTTTTAGTTGTTGGACGAGTCGTTTCGCTGTGGTCTCACCGTCCAGACTTGTTGGTTTAACTAGAGCCACAGACAGACAAAGTACCCCTTGACGTGCAGGTACGGAGTGTTAGAATGGGAGTAGGTCCAAAGAAACGCGGGAGGCCCAGGGGTGCTTAACCTAAGCTCAGAGCAGCAGCAGAGATTGAAACCCCAGTCAGAGGTAACCAGGCCCCATGAGATGGAAGAATGTTCCAGGCAGAGGGACCAGGGAATTCCAAGCTTCAGAGACTGAGGGGGCATGGCGCCTCTGACCTCCGGTCAGTGTGTTCCAGAGGCTGATGTTGAGATGCCCTGGGCCGGGCGGGGTGGGAGTTGCTTAATGCTCTCTGGGGCCAGAAGGGGACAGTCACCTGGTGACAAACAAGGCCAGAGAGGTCCTTTTGGAGGCCACACCAAAAGGAGTTTGACTTCACCCCAGGGGTTGTGGGCCTTTGAAGGGCTTTAAGTAGGGAGTGGCAGGGTTAAAAAGATCCCCTTGGCAATAGTAACGAGTGCACATTCGTGCTTGGGGGGAGCTGTGTAAAATCAGATGCTGGAAAACCATTGAGGAGGATGCCGGTGAACTCCGATGAGACCGCGGTTACCCGAACAACAGGAGAGGACAAGTGGACAGGCGTGAGAGAAACCAGGAGACAGGGCTGCCAAGGCTTGGTGACCAGTTAGGCGTGGTCATAATGGGGAGGGAGGGCCGAGGGTGACATAGGACCTTTGGGCTTGATTGTTGGGGGGTGGGGGTCAGTTTTCGAGACAGGACCATTTGAGAACAGGGGAAGGGAGGATAGAGCATCCAGGGGTGGACAAATTCAGCAGGAACACCTGCAGGGCGTGTGGATGCCCTGTGCAGTGAGAGGCTGGGGCTGTGGACCAGGAGCCTGAGCGAGCTAATGGGGACAGAAGGGCTAGGAGAGAGTGACGAGCCCTGGAGGAGTGGGGAGGAATGGGCCGCTCAGGAGACTGCTGTTGGGGCTAGCAGTATGGAACCCTAACTATTTCAGAAGGAGGCTGAGGTTAACTGGCCTGAGGCTGCAGAGGGGACGGGGAGAGGGAGGCATTTAAGGGTGTCTCCTGGCTTGGGCTATCAGCAGGTCCCTGTTGACTTTGGAGAGAGAAGGTGCAGGGAGACCCAGGGGGGCAGTGGTGGGAGAAGCGGGCTGTGTGGGGGTGGAGGGAGGAAGCCATCTGAGGGACTGGAGGTCGTGGGTATAGACAGGACTTCTCTGGAAGCCTTGCCCTGAAGGAGGAGAGAGAGTTGGGGAGGCTGCTGAGAAGGGAGGAGGGGGACAGGGAGGAGGGCGTGGCTGGATTCGAGAGTTGGGTGCCTTCCAGAGAAAAAGGGAAAAAACTGGTAGGGAGTATGAGAGGGACAGAGTGGGTGCCGGTGCTGAAGCAGTGAGAACATGCTGTCGGAGGGGCGGTGGGATGCACCCAGCGTGGGGCACGGGGCTCTCATGCGTGGCAGCTTGTAGGCTGCGTGGTGGTGGTGGTGGGGGGGTGGGGCATGGAGGCAGGGATCTGGGGAGGTGGCGGCATGTGGTATGGAGCTAACGGGTCCTGGGGCCCCCTGGGAACAGCAAGGTGGACAGAGATGGTGGCCTTGTGCTGGGGTAGCCGCCCCCGTCACACACGCTAACCTGTCTCTGCTTGTCTCTCCCTCCTGCCTCGGCTGGCCTGGCGCTCCACAGCTCTGTGCACCTGCCTTCTTCCTCCAAGGCCTCCTCCACACGGTACTGGAGCCGACCTTCTCCAGCTTCTTGTTCCCCTCTACTTGTCAGTGAACAGGTTTTTGCAGAGACCCGGGCAGGATGTCTGCACCCTGGCCCTTGGGGTGCACCTGGGCATGTCAACCCTGCAGGGCTCCAGGGAGCTGGGAGGGAAGAGGCAACGTGGGGACCAGTAGGAGGAGTCAGAGGGACCTGTTCCTAGTTTTGGGGCCTGGCGGGGAGTGTTCCAGAGGGCAAGGAGTTTTCCTTGGCGACTGCAGGGCAATGCTGCAGCCACCCGGGAGAGGCTGGGTCTTTCTGCCTCCCCTGTACATTTTCTCCTGGGGCTGTTGGCTCCAGGCCCACACTGAGCTGGGCATCAGCCCCAAGCGGGCATGAGTGGGCACGAGCAGCGGGCAGGCACTGTCCCTCCCTTACTCTGTGCCTTCCAGGGCCAAGGGTGGGCATTGTGCCAGGACTCTCCCTAGCATGCAGACCCTGCCTCCCCTACTCAGACGGGCTGTGGTGCCCATGCACCTAGGAGTCCTGGGCAGAGGCAGCCCTCCCTGCACACCACCCTCCTGTGTGTCCCTCAGGCCGCCTAGGATGCTGGTGCTTCCTGCATTGTGCACCTACCTGGAGCATCAGGTGGGAGCTGCTGTACATTCCTCCACCCTCCCTCCTGGGGATTCTTTTCTTCTTACTGCAACCTGTAGGATGGGGGTAGAACTTCCCCTGTGAGTTTCCGAGACTGTAACTCTTTCCAAGAGTAGCACACTTCATCAGCCACCGCAGTGACAGCCTGTGTAGTGGCAGTCTGTCACTGCTGATTGGGAGGTGCCACCTCTCTGCCAGATCTCTTCACGTTTGCTCCCTCGTGTAATTCTCAGAGTACACGCCTGTGGGCACTGCGAGCTCAGCTCTTCAGGCGAGGCTGCTGAGCCTTGGGCTGGGTAATTTGTCCGAGGGCAGGCAGTGAGGAAATGGCAAGACTGGGACTCGAAGGTGGGGAGAGCTCTCTAACTCTAGAACTGAGCTGCCGGCCCCGCACCTGGGGGGGCAGCGTCTGTCATCCCTGAGTGACTGGGGCAGGACTGTCCGCTGGGGTTGGCTGTGAAGTGGTTTGTGGAGGCGGGAGGGAGCTGGTGTCCTCCGCTGCCCCTGCTGCCCCCATCGACTGACTTCAGGGCATCCTCGGGCAGCTACCGCTGCAGCTCCCTCTGGGAGGGAGCCCAAAGCCGGTCAAGTGGAAAATGTGGAGATTCCATCGTTCGCTGTGTTTGCGCATGGCAAGCTCTGCCAGGTGCCAATGCCACCCTCTTCGTTACAGCAGTTAACCCTTTACCCAGCTCCAGGGCTTCCCCAGGTGGACACGCAGGTTGCACATTGCACGAGACACTGAACCCAAGGGAGCTCAAGTCCTAGGACGGATAGCACCCAGTGCATTGGCCGGGCAATTCTATTTGTCTTGAGTAGGAGTCCTGGTGATGCGGAGCTTAGGCAGCTCCCAGGAAGGTCGGTGGTTCGAACTCACCCGCTGCAGGAGAAGGATGTGGCGGTCTGTGGCTGCAAGGAGTCACAGCCTTGGGGACCCTGGAGGGTCAGCTCTCATCTGTCCCAGGCGGGTCTCTGCGAGTGGCAACTGGCTCTGGGGCTCCGGCCTGGGCCTGGGGTGTGTGTATGATAGTCAATTCCCAGTAGATGGCAGTAACGCGTCTTGCTCCGATCAGCCCGCAAACTAATGGCCCTCTGACGGGGAAGCCCAGAGCCTCAGGGCAGCCAGCCACATCTTCCTCTGGTTGCCCCAGAGGTGCCCATGGGCTGGCAGGGGCTGTCTTCTTTTGCATCTCCACGCAGCAGGCCCTCTTTGAAGTGCTGTCCGGGCGTTCACTGCTGCCAGCTGGGCAGTCACTCCAAAGGTGGACTGACATTCAGTAGCCATTGTGTAGATGGATGTGGAGTCCCAGCCTGACGTTTGTTATTTCACTGCATGGAGGAGTCTCAGGACCCACACCCACACAGGGCACAGAGTGCGTTTCCAACCACTGTGCACCTTCCCTGAGACATCTCCCACCTGCACGCACCGCCACCACCCCACCCCCCCAGTCTCGCTGTTCTTAGCCCCTGGAGATTCTTGCCCCAGCCTTGGTGGGGACCATGTGGACCTATGCCCTGTCCATCCCTGGTCTGTGGTGGCGAGGGGCGTCCCTCAGTGGAGCTTTTGGACGCTTTGTGAGTGGAGGACATTTTCTCTGCCTTCCTCCCATGCGTCAACCGGGTGGCTCTTGGTGGCTCACGGGGTAGGTGTGGTTCTCTGTCCTCCCTGGACAGGTGGGGCTTCGGGGAGGAGATGCAATGTTAGGGCAAGTGGTAAAAGTCAGGAGGGTCCGAGCCTGAGGCAAAAGCCCCAGCCTTGAGGGAAGGGGCCATGCCCCTTTGGGACTGAGGGTGCTGTGTGTCCAGGGGAGATGAGAGGGAGGATGATGGTGATGATGATGATGTGTGCATGTGTGTGCCTGGGGGAGGGGGAGCCTGAGCTACCAACGGGTGCATTTGGGCCTACACGATGGAAGGAGGGGGGACTTGGGTTGCATTCAAGACAGGGCTACCTCAATTCTGGGCCAAGTTGCTTGACTTGTGACTCTGAAAAGGATGGTGGCTGGTGCACACTGATGGGGCTCTCTTGTCTCTGCCTTCTGGTGCTGACACTGCTGTGCCTCTGGGTGCACGCCCTTCTTTCTGTCCTGCCTTGCCCGGTCCTCGCCCTCTCTGCCATGGTCTTTCGCCCGCTGCGCTGTGCAGTCAGAAGACTCCGATCTGCCCTACCCACCGCCTCAGAGGGAAGCCAACATCTACATGGTCCCACAGAACATCAAGCCGGTTCTCCAGCGGACTGCCATCGAGGTGAGCCCGGCCCCACCCCTCCTTTGGGGGCCCAGCCCAGGGGACCCTGGCCCTGGGGCCTTTCCTGCACTCTCGCCTCTTGCTCTGTTCCCCCAGATCCTGGCCTGGGGCCTCCGGAACATGAAGAGCTATCAGCTGGCCAGCGTCTCATCCCCCAGCCTCGTGGTGGAGTGTGGGGGCCAGACAGTGCAGTCCTGTGTCATCAGAAACCTCCGCAAGAACCCCAACTTCGATGTCTGCACCCTTTTCATGGAAGTGGTGAGCCCACTCTCCCTGCCGTCCCCTGCCACAGCCCCGCCACTAGCATGTTCCCCAACTTCCTGCTGGCCACTTCTCTTGCTTCCCTCCCTTCTTCAGTCAGCCAGGGAAGAGAGCCTGAGCACTGGGGCCTGTCAGCAGGACATACGGATGCCCCCCCCCACCCTGTTCCTATCTCCCCAGAGGCACACAAGTCCATCCGTTCCTCTCCTCAGGGCCCTGCCAGCCCCGACCTCCTGCGTCCCCTAAACCTTTGGTGACCCAGCCGGTTCCCCGGAGGAGTATGCCTGCCCCCGCCCCCCCTTCCCCCCCAGCCCTCCAGGCTCCCTCATCTTCCTGGGGCCTCGTGGCCGGAGTCAGGCAAGTCTGAGGAAAGGAAAATGGTTGCAAGATGAAAAACGCTTTAGGAATTCCGGGCCCAGTGGCTGTCAACAGGGGCCTCCTCTTGGCTGAGCCAGGGCCGCCACCGAAGGAGAGCGTATAAATTATTTCAAGTTGTGTTCAAAGTGCTTTTGGGGGGGGCGGGAGAAGAACTTGGTCTGTAAGCCAGCTTTTGAGGATTCACTTGGGGGGCACTGTCTGCAAGAACAGCCAACTCCTGGGCCAACTCCTCCCCTGTTCTCTGGCCGGCCCCGCCAGCCGGCCAGGGAGGGTTCGGGGAAGGGAGACTTGCATGAACTCCCGGCTGAGCTGGGTGTCCTTGGAAGGCGAGGCTGTGGGCCTCCTCCCACGGCAGCGAGGAGGCAGCCAGAGAAGGTGCATGGCTTCTCCGCACCCCCGCTCAGCTCCTGGGCTTGGCGCAGTGCCAGTCTGGATTTATGGCCACTGGGAAGGGTCTGCCGGTTGATAGTGTCCTCTTGACCTCTGCCCTGTGAAGAAGGGCCTCCACGCCTCACCTCCCACTCCAGACGTCAACGAGAGGGAGGGAGGGAGTCGTAGGGCCAGTGCCTAGAGCCCCCCACCCCCCTCCATCAGATGCTGCCCCGGGAGGAGCTCTACTGCCCCCCCATCGTGGTCAAGGTCATTGATAATCGCCAGTTTGGCCGCAGGCCTGTGGTGGGCCAGTGTACCATCCGCTCCCTGGAGAGCTTCCTGTGTGACCCCTACACGGCGGAGAGTCCATCTCCACAGGGAGGCCCAGGTAGGTGGAGGGGCCGGCGGGTGGGCAGGGAGGGCCTGGGCTGCAGAGGGCTCAGGAGGAGGTGGGATTTCCCAGGGGAGATGGATCCCAAAGGCATTCTTCTGCC